CTGAGAAACCAGGATACTCATATCCCTGTGTACATGATCAAATGTACTATCCTGGTTTCTTGACATCTTACAAATACACAAGCACAAAAAATGTAGTTAATATGATTAACTGAGATTCAGGAACAGGAGCAGGCCTCAGCCGCCCTCTCCTCTCACCAGTGAACCACAACTCACCTCAACCACACCTCTAATTTCCCAGAAGCCTATATGTAGCAGCCTTTCCCATCATCCCAGTTTGTCTTGGCTAACTCGACCCCACCCTCCCATCCCCTATTTTGTCTTTCAGTCATAAGACCCCTACAAGGGGGGTCCTGTTCTGGCTGGGCCAATTGCAGATTGAGACTGAGCCCCCACCTAGAGTCTCAACCCAGCCATCTCTGCCCCGCTTCGTCCATTATCAATAAACATCTTTGTGCTATGTCCTTGTTGGTGTGGTCCTAGCTAGTGAATTATACATTTAATAAACCAGGCAATATACAAACAACCATGAACTCCTTCAGCATAGGAAGCTCGGGAGGTTCCTAACCAACAGTAAGGAGCTATGGTCCACTACATTAAACCCAACATTTAACAAATATTGTACAAGTTACACACTGCAGCAGATTCTTAATTAAAATCTTCTGCATAAATAAACTCAACTTTACAACATATAAACCACAACCACTATAGAGCCACATCAGCCCATCTGATAATATAATTCAGCTTTGCACACATTTCTTTACGTTTTACAGAATGAAACTTAAAACCACATGCTCATTTGTATAAACTATAGCTGAAAAAACCAAAAACAAAACAGCTCTTTGCTTGTGCACTGATGTGGTCAGCTAAAAGACATGACTCAGTGGAAAATGAGTGTTCTCTCTGTGACAGAGGATGTGCTGATGATGCTGAGTCTGTTCTGTGTGTATCACATTGGAGATGGGTCATGTTTAATTTTTCAGAGCTCATACATGTACAGGTCATAGGAGTGCAGATTGTACTTGTGCAGGTTTAGCGCAGCTCTTTATTTAACAGTCATCTCACTCATGTTTGGTCACTTTATTTATGTTGGTCACTTTATTTATGTTGGTCACCTTGTGATGAAAAGACTGAAAAGTGTTTTAGACGCATGCACATTCAACTTTATGTTGCAGTAATTGGGATACTGCGTATACAAGCCACAGTATCTCAGTTAGTATCGAAATATACAAGATACACTATCCTGGTTACTCATAACCAGGATACTGCCTTATTCGGGATACTGAAACCGGAATACTGCAGATACATGCAACATGACGAAACCGGGATACTCAAAAAACCCAATCATAACAGGGACACTGATGTGCATGTATACTCAGACCACAGACTCAGACCACAGACTCAGACCACAGACTCAGACCACAGACTCAGACCACAGACTCAGACTCAGACCACAGACTCAGACCACAGACTGACAGACTGTCTCTTGTGCCCAGGCTAAAGTAGAGGTTTGTGTGGGAGAAGGACCCCCGAGCTCTGATGGAGAGGAAAGGGCTTCAGCATCATGGGGCTCACACTGTCTACCAGTCTGGTGTCACAAAGGAGCCAAGATGTTGAGCCTGGCACGCAGCATTAGAAGGTCCTTCACCACTGACAATGCTAAAGTCCTGTCTTTAGCATTAATAATCCTCCTCCTGGCCTGTCACTCAGCGTCCCGTTATTACAGTGGTAAGTGTGTACATGTGTCCCTCCTTCAGCAGAGCTCTTCTACAGGCCTACAGTCTGAGTCCTGTCCTCACTGTGTCCCTCAGACTCTGACTCCTGTCAGTGGCTGTTGTCCACTGGACGCTTCCTGGAGAACAGTGTGTGGCAGCCTGATGGCTGCATGATGCATAATTACAGCAGATGGTGAGTGTTTTTAAGCATGTACCTGATGCACTCAGTGACACAGCTGCAGCTCACCACAGCTCCTGGTGCTCTGTCCTGTCTCGTATTTGGAGTCTGGGCCTCATCTCTCCTCTGGGCCCTGTGCTGGTGTCCTGGTGGCTGTCTCTCTCTTCTGTCACTGGACTAGAGTTTCAGAGTGAAAACTTCTCCAAGTGACTTCTAGAACAGCAAAACATCTTCACCCTGAAACTTGAGTCCAGTGACAGAAGAGAATGTTCTGCTGTTGATCTAGGCAACACTGTGTTTGTGATGGTTGGCTGTGGGGTGTATGGTTCTAATGACTGTAAAGCCCTTGTATGTGCTTTATAAATAAAGTTAGATTTGATCTACTGTACAACGTCAGCCAGTGGTGTGGGGACAACTGTCTCATCCTGAATACGACCTGAATGCGGCTTAGACCGTACAAAGAAGTGGACTATGTTCATCAAGAGGTTAGAGCCGCTCTTCTTCGTCTGGAGGTTGAGGGCATTTGAAGATGCTGCTCTTGATGTTCTGTCACACTGTTGTGGCCAGTGCCTTTTTCACAGGACAGTTTGGGGCAGCAGCCCGGCCAACAAGAACAGCAGGAGGTTGTAGAATCTGATGAAGGCCAGCTCTGTGACTGGGAGAGCACTGGACTCACTCAGTACAGTGGTGGAGGTGTGCATCCCAAACAGACTGGTCATAATGGACACCTGCTCCCACCCCCTCCACAGTGTCCTGGCTGCACAGAGGAACAGCAGAGGCAGGCGACTCCTCTCACTCTGTTGTAGGACTGAAAGGTTTATAAAGTCCTTTGTCCTTTGTCCTCTGTAACTTGTCAGAACTGGGACCTTATGCACATGGACTTTGCATGTCTTGCACAAGCTTTTAATGATTATTTATTGCCTTTTATTAATCTTTTAACTGTGTGATGAGTTGTGTGAACCAAGCTACATGGACTTCCCCTTTTGGGGATCAATAAAGTGTCTGTTGGTCTCATCTTGTCTCCTCTGCCCCTCACAGGGAGGCCAGCACCTGCCTCGGTGGAAAGAAGGTCGTTTTTATTGGGGACTCACGGATTTGGCATCTGTTTTTGTCTTTCGTCAATATAATAGCATCTAAACATTACAGCGCCCCCTGGGTAAGAGAGATGGATACTGAAAGACTTGGACTTGATTCCTTTATACTCACTGATAACTTTCTGGACATGTGCTTGTGTGTCTTGTCAGAGGCATGTAGATCTTTTTTTTACAGACAACAGCTCTTCAGTTCAAGTGGTGAGTTGTTCTGAAATCTTGTGTTCTTCAAACATAAAACAATAAAGTGACAAATTGTGTTTGTGCAGCATTTTCTGTGGCACCCGCGGACAAATAATGACATGAAGAAGCGTTTAATTTCACTGTTTAATGTGAGTAGAATGACACACAGTTGGACAGTTCTGTTTGTCACTAACCTGAACCTCACAGTGAACAAGTTGATTTCAATAATTTGTACTTTTTTTTTTTTTTTTTTTTTTTTTTGCATTGGACATTTACATTTAACACCATCCCTATTAACCAAAGGAACTGCACACTATCTTTGCAGATTCCTCTACTGACAGGACAGAGACAAATAAATAATATTGCATTTAATGAATCTATACTAGAGATGTGCGGATGGGCTATTTTTTCATCCGCAACCGCGACACAAAACTTATCATCCGCCCGCTGTCCATTTTGCACCGAAGGTTTTCAAAACCGCACCCGCCCGCCATCCGCCGATTGATTTTAGATTTTAGAACTATCATACAGCAAACAAACTAAGGAGCCTCGATAAAAATGCAAACTCTATAGCTCATTCATTCCAAAATTCGCTCAGTGTGTATGTTCGCATTCTTAATTGTCCGTAACAACCCCAGACTTACCTGGTTTTCTTGCGCAGTTAATTAATTGACAACGTTTTCCGACTAGGCTATTTTTGAACCTTCTTGCCTTCGTGTTGGATGTTGTTACATTCTGAAACATTCTGCCATTGCCCGATGTTATTTCAAAGTCATAGCCTCACTCCATCGGTCTTTCTTTAAGTTTTAAATACCCAGAGTGGCAGTCTACGCTATAATGTCTGCGTGTTTTAAAATATATCTGATATCGAAACAAAATAGACAGATCATCTCATCCAGATGAACCTTTATTGAAATCAGGCAATGCCCTCTTTAAGTGAAATAAATTAGAAAATAATAAAATAAACTGCATATAATATGTGCCTCGTAAACCTTAGGCATCAATAACCCGACACAACCTTAACCTTCAGAACATAAAAAACGAGGTCAAATGGGCTAATTAAGGATATGACGTACACTTCATACTACAAGCATAGACAATGAGACTCGTCTTTTCAGATGTAGGTAACAATACTAACAATAACTTTTTTTTTTTTTTTTTTTTTTTTTAGTAGTTAAACCGCCACCCCCCGAATTTTATTAAAATATAATTTTTCGTCACGTCATCCGCCCGACCCGCGGATCAACCGCGGATACCGTGGTTGTAACCGCAATCCACGCATCTCTAATCTATACTACTAATACTTTGCACATGCTTTGATGATCTTGTTTTGAGTTCACTTATTATAGGGGCAGGATCTTACAGTATTCAGTCACATCTCGATCACTCTCAGGACACCTACAATTCCTTTGAAGAACTTTCTCTTAAGCTCCATCCAATCCATCTTTTACATTCAGGGAGCAGAGGGAGTCCATTACTCAGTTGTGAGCAGGGTCAGAGTTCACAAAATAAATACTTAATCTAAGAGAAAGGATACCACCATACCACAGATAAGATACCACAGATCAACACATTAGATAGCCTATCATGTCTTACACTATAATCAGATGACTTTGCCACTTACCGCACAATGCTTATGTAATTTTTATCCGTAAATGCTGGCTACCCTCACTTCTTCCTGTGGTCCTTGTTGTTGCAGGCCACAGTAAAACCTGATGCCCTGATCATTGGAGCTGCTTCAGTAAGTTTGACAACCCACTGCTTAGAAAGAATCCTACGATGACTCTTGTAAATCCTGTGTCGTCTTTAACCAGTGGGTCATCAGAGACTTCCATGCAAGTGCAAAAGGGCTACACCAGTACAAAGAAAACCTGATGTCTATGTCTGCGTCTCTGGAGGGCCTGGCTGAGCATGGAGAGGTCTACTGGCACATTCAAGGTCAGCTTATATTATTACAAACCTGGTGAGTTCACACACTCATGGGAATTCATTTTGGCATGCATCAGATGGACAGTTAGTTGGGTGGACCAGAGCAGCATTGAGGTTTGTGTGGAGCTTCAACCTGTTTTCTCATCAGTACAAACTATTTAATCCTTCACAGGGGAGGGCTTTGTGCATTTGTGGACAGATGATTTATCTCATCTGGATAATTGAAAAATTAGATTTTTCAGCTTGTTGCTCTCTTAAGATAATATAGATTCTGGACATGCTGAAGGAAGGTTCAGGCAAGTAGTTGCTCAAATGGATGGGATTTAACATTCTGGAATTTTACGGGTGGGTAGTAATTACACACGGGCGGGTCAGGACTGAATCAGGACTAAACCAAAACTAAACCAGGACTACACCAGAACTAAAGTAGGCCTAAGAAGGCCTGGTTTAGTCCTCCTGAGTGAGTCTGATTCAGTCCATGGCGTATGCAGTGCAAAAGTTTGCTATAATCTTGGGTTGACGGGCAGGTGCGATGTTGTACTGCGCCAGTGCGGGTCTCCAAAAACTGACCCATGCAGGACTCTGCACTGTAGGGCTCCATTACAAAATTAATTAATCTTCGGTTTGTTACATAAAGAAGGAGGAAATAACATTAAGGACGACAGCAGCTATACGTATTAAGAACGATGCAAAAAGAGTATACTTTGCTCACACAGGACAGTTAAAAGTGTGTGGTGAGGAATTTCACAGCCTTAAAACAGATAGAACACACATATTCTGATGATTATTCTTTCTGTGACAGAGAGTGCGGCTGATGGTGAGTCTGTTCTGTGCTTCTATTGCATTGAAGATGGTTCATTATAAGTCTGCAGATCGTACCATAGACCTTATGAATGAATGGACATATATTCTCTGTAGCATTTCATTGATTACATAAATGCAACACATTATAGTCTTTGTGATGGTAGTTTCTGCTGCTCCCTGCAGCTTTACTCTGAGGAAGAAAGAGTCCAGTGAGAAGTCTGAGCTCAGGGCATGATCAGGCCTGTGCTGCTGCTGCACAGTCACACTGATGCTGTGGACTTATGTTGAGTTTCTACAGACAACAGAAGTCAATAAGTTTCATCTACAGCCCCGGAGAATGAGAGGCTTGTGCTGCATTCAGACCGCTGCTTCGAAATAGCATTGTACATTTTAGAGTTTGAGGCAGACACCTGTAGGGTGTCCATGTCCATCTATGAGAGTTTTTTGGATGGTGTGTTTTCCCCGTCTCTTTGTGAACGATGGCAGGAGAGAGGCTTTAGTGTAGTGTATTATTATATAAAAGTGGAGGTGATCTGCGGTGGCATGTCTATGTTTTATCACTTTTCCCTGGAGTTCCATCTAGATGACAACTGCTTTCAGTGGTTGACCGGTCCCCCAGTCTTCCATTTCAACCATAGACCATATATATGAGTGAACATAACTAACGCTCTAGCTGCTGTGTGCCAAATAGGAAGTTCTCCAGGAGGCTCTTCTGGCTCCTCCTGACTCTGGCTCCAATTGACTTACATCTTGTTGCTCCTCTCTCTGTACCTGCTGCATTGAGCCTCGTCATTTTGGACTTTAAAATGTTCGTATTAACCCGCTCTACATGATTCTGATTTTTTTTTCCTCTATTTTGTCCATCAAAAAAATCCTATTCATAACACAGAGCCTGGCTCCACATTTGCTCCTGTAACCGTGAGCATCCCGAGCCTCATTTGAGCTTAATGCTATGGGTGACATCATGTGAGTGGCAGAAGCTCAGTTGGTAGAGCATTCGCCCACTGATCTGAAGGTTGGCGGTTCGATTCCAGCTCTCCACATAAACATCAGGTTGAGCGGTCAGATCCACTGACCCACAGGTTGGCTGGTGTGATTCCAGCTCCCACAGATGAATACTGTTGTTGTGTCCTTGGGCAAGACACTTAACCCACCTCGCCCCCCGTGTCTGCGTACATTGGTGTATGAATGTGTGTGTGAATGGGTGAGTGGTTCCTTGTTGTAAAGCGCTTTGAGTGCCTTGAAGGTGGAAAAGTGCTATAGAAAAATGTAACCATTTACCATCACACTCACTTAGTCCATTTCTTTTATACTGTCTATGATTTCAACTGACCCAAAATGCGCGCTAGCAACACCCCCCCACAGACCTAGGCCCACCCAAATACCACAGGCCCACCCAAACCCCTTCAGAAAGAGTTTCATAATATTTTTACAACTCTGCTGTCTAGCATCTGCTGTCTTACAAATAATGTGTCTGTTTTATACAGTGAGTCTGTGGTCCAGTGGATAATATACCGGTAGTAATATTTGCAAAGGTGCGTTTTACACACCCCTCCCCTCGAGAGCCCCACACGGCTTCTAGACGCTCTGTTCACGAGGCACGTTTGCTGCTACATTTGGTACATTTAAACATGTGGTCAAAAGACCCAGGTGAGGTAGTGTAGCTCACTGTGTTTAGTCAATCGTCTCTGATGCGGGCGATGGGGGTTCAAAACCCTGACATGTTGTTTACAGTTTCATTTTGGGGGTGGGGGGACTTAGTGTGAAAAATCAAATGTCCAAAACTTTAATTTTATTAACTTTTCTAACCATTCATTCTCATTGTTGAAAATCTTGACTGGTCTGGTCTTGGAATGTGTAACTTAGTAAACTTAATGAACTGGACAAAACAGGAACCAGACCAGAATCAGATCAGACCTGAGACTAGACTCTGCACTATAGTTTGTATATTTGTTATTATATGGAAGCCTATGCATTACATTTAAAACATTTAGGCTTGTCTATCATATCCAAATAATACAAAAAATACAAAAATCTTACCAAATAATAACGAGATGACAGACGCCCCACAGCCTCTCTCCCCCGGCCGCCCCCACTCCCCGCACCGCCACAAAGGTGACCAGGAGAGGTCCTCACTCTAATGGTCAATAAGGTATTTGAAATCTTTCACTCATTCCAAACATACGCCATTAATGTAGAGTGGAACCAGATTTGAGGCACACTACTTTCGGAAATCCAAAATGATCTCTTTGGTCTTGGTGTAATTTAAGACCAGACGGTTGGCTGAACACCGTTCTGACAGCCTTTAAATATCATCTCTATAAGCTCATTCACCCTCATTGATGATGAGTCCAGTGACCACTGTGTCTGCGAATTCTATGAATGTGTTGGTGGGATGGGTGGAGGTACAGTTGTGTGTATACAGTGTGTAAAGGATTGGACTGAACACACACCCCTGAGGTGCCCCAGTGTGCAGCATGATGATGTTGGAAGTGTGGGGGCCAGTCTTGATGAACTGGGACCTGTTTGAAAGAAAATTCTAAATCCAGGTAGAGATGGAAGGAGAAAGCCCAGTTGGAGCATTTTTCTTGTCAGTATTGCTGGCATGATTGTATTAAAGACTGAACTAAAGTCTATGAAGACCATCCTCACAGCTTTGCTGCTGGTCTAGATGACTGAGTGGAAGTGTGGATTGTTATGGCAATGGCATCCTCTGTCGACTGATTAGCTCTGTATGCAAACTGACGGGAGTCGGAGGGTGAGAGGTTGGCTCAAACATGATGCAGAACCAGTTTTTCAAAGCACTTCATCACTGCAGGCGTAAATGCCAATGGTCTGTAGTTGTTGATCAGTCGAGGTTGGCTGTTTGGGAATAGGAATAATGGCGGCGGTTTTCAAGGAGGAAGGGATGTTAGCCTGTAACAGATATACTGATATGCAAATTAGCTATGTGCATTTGTAACGAGGTGTTATGAGAACAGAATTAAGACAGGCTAGAGTATCAAAACTAAGAGCCACTGACTGACTAATCCTCATAGTCCCTTGTTTTGTCTCAGGGCTATTTTAAAGGCCACATACTTATTATGTGTAAATTATCTGCAGCAGTTTATCTGGTTTTGCCATGATCTAAACATAAGGCAAGCGAAGGCTACTGTGCCCTTTGTCCACATGACTTCCATGCACAAAGTAAACATGTTCCAGAGTGAAGTTTATTACACACAGATGGGAAGCTGGACTGGACAGTTGATATTTCACACACCAGAGTTAGTCTTAATGTTTAAATGTATGAGAAAATGCTGCTGTGGAGAGGAAAAACATCCTGACCCCGATTTGAACATAATAGAATAATGTGACTGATGTACATTTTAAAATAAGTAAGCTATTCATTTTACCCAAATAATTTTCTAAATGACTGGGTTTGTGTATGTATATGGATGAAATAAAAAATGTAATGTACCTGCAAAAGCATAAAACTATATTTTCATTCGGTCTGTGTTCGGTCTGAACGCAGCTTCAGAGTGTTTCTAACCTGCATGTGTGTTCACAGGGGGCCATGGTGTTGATGAACAGTCTGTGTAATAAAGTGATCCGGCCCATTGATGGTTCCTGCTGCCAGAACACGCCCCCGCTCACTTTTCTGCAGAAGATGTTGCTGTGTGTGTTTGTAGTCACGACTCTAGTTTTTCTGCTGTTGAACTTTCTGAGGAAATTGCCCCATGGGCGACCCATGGTCCCTGACCTGGAGAGTTTAGAGGAGAAGAAGCCGGATACAGCTCCTGGGCCCCTGGGGGCCGAGGCAGTGTGTGGGACCCTGTGCAGAATGGGACTCATCATGGTCTACTTCTACCTGTGTGACAGAGCAGATGTGTTTATGAAGGAACAGAAATCCTACAGTCACTCTGCCTTCTTCGTCCCTTTGATCATTGTCTTTGTGCTGGGATTGTTCTGCAGTGAGAGCACCAAAGAGGTGAGCACAGGCCTGTGTCCTTCTACACATGGAGCTGCTTTTCTCTGAACTTTGTGCACACCACCCTGGTTCCTCTGACACAATTTGACACTGTGTGCTGTGTCCCAGAGCCGTGTGCTGAACAGGGAGCAGACAGATGAGTGGAAGGGCTGGATGCAGTTGGTCATTCTCATCTATCATATTTCAGGAGCCAGTGCTGTAAGTCCTGTTTCCTTCTGTATTCTCTGTGTAGTCTCAAAGCAAAAGCTGATTCTTCTTGTGTGTCTCAGTTCATTCCAGTTTACATGCATGTGCGTGTGCTGGTGGCAGCCTATCTCTTCCAAACAGGTTATGGACACTTCTCCTTCTTCTGGCTCAAAGGGGACTTTGGCCTGTACAGAGTGTGCCAGGTGAGTGCAGCTCTACATCCTCCATGCTTTGTGCTCCTACAGCACCAGCATGACTGTGCTTGTGCTGCAGGTGCTATTCCGCCTCAACTTCCTGGTGCTGGTGTTGTGTGCGGTGATGGACAGGCCGTACCAGTTCTATTACTTCGTTCCTCTGGTGACGTTCTGGTTTATGATCATCTACATTGTTCTGGCCATGTGGCCTCAGATTGTGCAGAAGAAAGTCAGCAGTGGGTACAACTTTAATGTTGCAAATGTGCCCGTGGTTCTCCCTCACATGTGTTCTTCTCTCTGACAGTCAGTGCCCTGTGGTACTTGGGAATCCTGCTCAAGTTAGTGGGCCTCGTGCTGCTCATTTGCCTCTTTGCCTATTCACAGGTAACAGCACAGTCCCTCCAGAGGCACATGTCCTCAACACTGTTGGAAAGCTGTTGAATGACACATGTTTGTTCAAATGTGCAGGGCGTGTTTGAGATCACTTTCACATCGTGGCCACTTTCGAAGTTGTTTGAACTCAATGGCAACATCCAGGAGTGGTGGTTCCGCTGGAGACTGGATCGGTTTGTAAGTGCATTGGTGCTGTAGCTCCACAACTGCTCTGTTCCACTGGATGTGGATGTGAATGTCCATGTGTTTGCAGGCCGTGGTACATGGGATGGTGTTTGCTTTCCTCTATCTGCTCCTTCAGAAGAAACAGGTGCTGTCGGAGACCAGAGGAGAAGCTCTGTTCTCAGCTAAAGTCTCCCTGCCCCTGCTGCTCCTGTCTGGACTCTGTTTCATTGTAAGTGTTGGACTCTTGCTGTAGTTCATGCTGGATGAAGACCTGACACACTAGTGTTGCTCAGAGCAAAGTGAAGGCTTCCTAACATCTTGTGTCCTCTTTACTTTAGACATACTCAGTCTGGGCCAGCAACTGCCAAACCAAAGAGCAGTGCAACGAGATTCACCCCTACATCTCTGTGCTTCCGGTAGGTGATGTTAGCCTCCAAACAGAGTAGAGATGATATTACTGATTTCATCTTTATTTGTCCTCTGAGGTCACTGTAGTTGTCATATTGCACACATTCATTTGAATAAAGTCAATAGGGTAAAGTTAGTACTAACCTCTCTGTGATGCTCCTGTGCCTTCTCAGATTCTGGCCTTCATCCTCATCAGGAACATTCCTGGCTTTGCTCGCTCTGTCTACAGCTCCTTTTTTGCCTGGTTTGGGAAAATCTCTTTGGAGGTAAGATCCAGGGTGTCAAATCTGTTCCTAGAAGAATAAAACTAACCCCAAAATGTGCTGTGTGCCCAGCTGTTCATCTGTCAGTACCACATCTTTCTGGCAGCAGACACCAAGGGCATCTTAGTGCTCATCCCGAGAAACCCGTCCCTCAACATCCTGGTCAGTAGCTTCATCTTTGTGTGTGTGGCTCATGAGATCTCCCTCATCACCAAACTCCTGGCCCAACTGTTCTGAAATAGGCTGGGGGCTTCTTCAGTTTTATTTCATTGATAAAGTATAAAAATTAAACCATATGTTCAGTACCTGCACAGGGACTGCAGATAGAAAGTAGCTTGTAGCTAAATCTGGCCCAGTGCAGCTTTTCTCTTTGAAATTAATGTTTTCTTTGTGCTGTTGTTTTTAAATACAAAGAAAAAGGAATGGATAAAAATGTGCACAAAGATGTTATCTGCCCCCTTTTCCAGACAATGTTTTAACACTGATGGTTACTTTAAAAGACCCATATTACTCTATTTTCTGATCTATGTAATAATGTTTCCTCATCACAATCAGACCTGGAGTTGTGTTTTGTTTCATTCACACGTTTAACACACAAACCTGCATATTTATGCTGCGTTCTTTTCTCAAACTCAAAACAATCTGTTCCACCTTGTGATGTCATCCTACAGGAAGTGACCCACTGTGTTTTTTAACTCCACACACCTTCATTAGAATCACTTTCAGTCCTGGGTAAAGATAAAAGGTAAAAAGATAAACTACCACTATATGACATCACAAGGTGGAACAGAGCATTTTGAGCTTTGGAGATGTACACGGACTGATAATAAATTGTGACTCAAACATGTGTGAATGAAACAAAACACAACTCCAGGTCTGTTTTTGTTATGAGGTAACAACATTCTAACATGACTTAAAGCTCACAAGAGTTAAGTTTGTAATATTTAAAACATTTCAAATCAATACATTTAATTTCAGTCATAAATATTAATCAGTTGCAAACAGATATCTTCATTTTTATACATGACAATTTTTGATCTTTTCATACCATTGTACTGGATTTTATGTATGTATTAAATGCCATTATTGCACTTGATCCTTGGATTTCTTTGTCCAGTCCATCTAGCCGTGATCTAACACACTCCAGTCCATCTGTGCACAGGGAAATATGGGCTGAGCGTTTCCCTCCCACAGAGGAGATGTGCCAATTCTTATTGTCATGTGACCACTGAAAGCCTTTCTATTGGGTTAGGTGTTCAAAAAAAAAAGCGGTCAGGTGACTTTGGACTTCTGTGTCCACCACTGACCCTGGCATTTGATTTGGTCTACAGGTTGTACCCCACAACAACACCTTTAAACAGCTGCACCTCCTGAATGTTTGACTCAAAATCAAAGGAACTGACTGAAAAGTCATCTGGTGTCATCGTGTGTGACAGTTTTGGCTCTTCCTGAATGTGAGAATGAAACAAAACACAACTCCAGGTATGTTTTTGATGAGGAAACAACATTCTAACATGACTTTAAGCTCACAAAAGTAAATTTGGAGTAATAACCATCACAGATTTGTCCTTCATCTTAACTAGACACAGAACCTACGGAAACTCATTCATGGGCAAACTACATCTATTATGCCTATGCTACAGTAGTTGCTTAAATTTTCATTTAAGTAGTCTTAAAAAGGTCTTTAAAAAGTCTTAAATTTGGAGTAGTCAAACCTGGGGATATCCTGGGGGAGGAGCTTGTTTAGGACCCTCTTCTCAGCCACAGATGTGAGTGAGTCAAGCTCTGCTCCCACCACAGATCCTGCCTTCCTCTGCAGCTTACACATCCACGGCAGGAGCTTGTGGCAGATGTTAAAGGACTTCAGCCTTCTGAGAAAGTACAGCCTGCTCTGTCTCTTTCTGTAGAGCAGGTCTGTATTCTCCAACCAGTCCAGTCTGTGGTCGAGCTAAACAAGGTTAACACATTTATTTTATTTAAAAAAAAACCAATATGTATTTATTTTGGGCAAATTAGCAATTTGCATTGTTTAACAATGGAATAAAATATGAAATTTTAACAAATAACAATACAAATTTTGCCTAAAAAGGAGTGGGAAGAAGAAAACTTATTTAACTCCACTCTTCTAATTTGACAGCTTGAGCTTTTCTTTTGCGTGTCTTCAGACATTTTACCTGAGACCATATGAACCAATTACACGTGAGGACAAAGAGTCACTGTTCTAGCTTGGTAACAACTATCATCATATTATAATAACACAAAAGGATACAACAATGAAAACAGACAGCAGATCCAAGTAATGTAACGGACAGCACAGGCCAGAAATGGTAGGGAAACAACCAGCATAAAACAGCACTACAGAAGCAAGTATTGTTCTAATATTAAGACCCACTCTCTCTATACTGTGACCAGACCATATGTTTACATAACAGCTTGAATTTATGGATATTTTGGCATTGCTTGAGATGTGTATCCAGACTGTTTCAGAGTTTTACACAACATATACACACACAGAAACTTTTACGGGACATTGGGCAATTTGAAACTTCCACACCCTCTTAAATTATGCGTTCTCTCTCTCATTTTGAACAAGCTCTGTAGATGTCTTGGTAGTAAATAGTTGAGTATATAGATATAGACAGACTGTTAAAGGTAAATCTATAGAGTTCATCATTCCCTTTGAACGATTAATGCATTTGTACATGGTCCTTGACTAATAAAAAAAACAACCAAGTAATTAATGGTGTGTTTCTGACAGATGGTAATATGGACATTTCCCACCTCTGAAAAAGATAAGAAAAAAAATGCTGGATCAATGCTTGAACTGGTAATTACCACTGGTGAACTGAGAGACACAGTCCTGACATAGGCCAGACTCAGACTCACACACTCAGACCACAGACTCACAGTTTCAAGTCAAAAAGCTCAGCCCCTCTGCTTCATCTCCACTCCAAATCTTATTCACCTCTCCTTCCTCCTTAATGGTTTATTCCTAGTCTGGCCAGTAGATGGAGCCAGAACTACAGGTAAGCCTCTAGTGTGTGCTGCACTCTTGTCATTAGGTCCAGGTGCACAGTCACTCAGACCAAACCCAGGAATGAAAGAGAAAACACAGAGATGCTGCCGGTGAGTAAATCTACCTGTAAAATTTGTTTTTAAGAATGGTTAAAATAGTGTTAAGACACTAAGGACACAATAGTGCCAAATAATCTGTCTTAATTCATCAGTAAAGTGAATATTCTGTTTAATTTAAGTAGCACAATGAGAAGTCTTAGATTGTAAATGCAAATACAGCTACTTTGTGACTAGAACACTGTATTAGTACATCTGATGCACATGCCTCCCTTGGGTCTATGGAAATATCATACAGTGTGGTCACATAACAGTCTCCTTTACTATGAATGTTGAGCACTTACTTATGCTGTTTATGAATAACAGCCCCAAGAATCAAGGGAAGCTGGACTGGTCTGCCCAAACAAAGGAAGACCTCATGTCCTATTTTATTAAAAGTGACAAACTGTTAAGTAATATAAATTTACCTTATGACTCAATCAGATGTACTGATGCAAACTCTGTTAACTTGAACCACAAGAGGGATATTTGATATTTTTCATGATAATATAATATGGACTTTATATCAGAGTGGTGAATTCTTCTGTAAGTGTGTTAAATATAATCATGTTAAATGACCTGCTTGGGACAGGTTTGTCACGGGGCATTATGAACATAAAATGAATGTATGGCTGTATACATGAGGTGTACTACACTCTAATGAATGTGTTAAAAACACCACAACCTGTGTTGAATTTCAGCACAGCAGTGAGTTCTATTTGGGACAAAACAACTTGTGTTAATTGTGACACAGTTGATGTGTAAGTATATAGACACAACAGTTGTGTCAATAGTGACACAAGAATTAGTATTATGTGTTGCGTTAAGTGTTAAATGCTCTTTACACATTAGGGTGTTGCTCAAAATTCCAGTTACCCAACACAAACGTGTCATTCCACAGAGTTCATTAATATGAATACAGATGAAGATACAAGTTAAAATGTGTTTACTTTGAAATGTTTTTTTTCTTTCAGTGCAATAAATCAACAGGCTCTAATATTTAACATTGCCTTCAAAAAAATTCATAAAAAAATACCTTGATTTAAGCTTAATACAATACAATACATTAACAGTTTAACATTTTAATCCTCCTGGGTCGATCCTTTCTTTCTCCACTTTGTCCATCCCAAAAAAACTTTTCTGCATTTTTGAGTGCAATCTTTGAACACTGAGACAAGCACTTTCTTGATATTTGGTCCTGGGTCCGGCAGCTGGCTAAATATTAAATATATAAATTTAAAATGTTTACAAGGTACACAGATGATAACAACAAATTGATTATATGACAAACATATGCATTTTAATGCAATAACATGCATTTTACAATACAATATCAAACCGAATGTTTCCAAATACTATAGTACAAGTTCTACACCGCATCTGATTCTTAATAAAATAAACTCAACATTACAACATATAAACCATAACTACTAAATGCAATACAAAGGTGTTGAGAAGACCAGGGCTAAATTACGCAGCCTGAGCCTCACTACCTTTTTCTAATCACTCTAATAACCCTCAGAAAATCACTCAACTTTAAAAACACACTGCAGATAACTCTGACAACACTCACAATATCACATAAGTTTAAAACCACAATGCACACTCAAAAATATCATTTACTACACTCAAAAATATCATTAAAATATCTGACTACACTCAAAAATATAATTTAACTTTAAGAAACACCATACAAGTAACTTTAACAACTCTTAAAGTACCACCTAGGGAACACTTACAATTTCACTTAGCTTTTAGAAACCACCTTATGACATACTCTGTACTCACTCTGTACAACATTTGCCCAAAACTAATTTTTGACAGTGCCTCAAAGAATTTAACCAGATTTAGTTTTACACCAAAAACATTGCAACTATTCATTTATCCTTAGCAGTGCCTCAAGAATTTAACCAAATTTAGCTTTGCATCAAAAACATTGCATTAGAAAATATCCCCAAACATTGCGTTTTTGTAAGCAACTCACCTAGGATGACTGGACTTGCACGTAGTAATAGTATATGTATATTAATTAGAGGGAGAGACTCAACAAAAGATCCCAACAAGTGATTTGTCTTTGTCTTATTTTTCTGCTTTTTATTATTTTATGCACTACTCCTGTGGCTGGTTGTCACTCTTTATACTCGTGATCACTCAGGGTTTTTAGGCCCGGAGTGCTCACGACAGAGCACTTATGACCAACTCACTCCGTAGTTGCTATTTTACCAGAAAGCTCATACGAAAATAATTAGGACAAATCACTATGCAAGTACCCTTTTGGAGAAATTACCCTGTGACCAGGAAAGCTATAAAGCACAGCCTAGTCCGAATTGTAGATTCTGAACTCCTAAGCCGAGTTACAGCCGGAGGGCCAATGCCAACCAAAATCAGGATCTCATCATTATGCAGAATTTTCAATATTTATCTAGGGTCACAGGGCTCCACCCAGGTATATGCAAAGTGATCAGTACGTCACACATAGAACACATTTTTCCAAGTACAGGCAACACTTTTCAGAAACCACAGTCTTCACCATTCTAGCCCCCAACGCTCCTCCCCCAGCCAGGTCTGAAATAACTGCCACCTCGCTTTGTCGAAGGAGCAGGAAGTTCGCACCCGCATCAAAATAAAGCATCATGAACATCTTCATCTGAATTTCAGGAGCCCTTTTAGTGGGGCCTACACCAAAACCTTCATCTTTTTACCCCACCCGAGTGAGCTCTCCTGTGGCCGAGGGGGGGTTCACGACAAAAGGTTACCTTCTAATAAGACCTGTGGATCTGATGGGATTTATGCTGAGCGCCTAAAACATACCACCATAACACTTTGTAATCTCCTGGCCATGTGCTTCTCTAGCTGTCTGACACACGGGGTACTCCCTCCCTCACTCCTTTCTGTCACTCTTGTCCCAGTCATAAAGGTTAAGGCTGGTAGAATGAGCAGTGTGGAAAATTATAGGCCTATTGCACTGGCAAGTATCTTGTCCAAAGTTTTAGTAAGAATATTAGTGTGTGTACATGCACATCAGTATCCCGTTTATTATCCATATCCTGGTTATGTCAGTATTCAGGACATGTTGTTTACATGCACGCTGAGAAACCAGGATACTCGTATCCCTGTGTACATGATCAAATGTACTATCCTGGTTTCTTGACATAATCTTACAAATACACAAGAGCAAAAATTATACATTTAATAAACCAGGCAATATACAAACATCCATGAACTCCTTCAGCATAGGAAGCTCGGGAGGTTCCTAACCAACAGTAAGGAGCTATGGTCCACTACATTAAACCCAACACTGAACAAACATTGTACAAGTTACACACTGCAGCAGATTCTTAATTAAAATCTTCTGCATAAATGAACTCAACTTTACAACATATAAACCACAACCACTATAGAGCCACATCAGCCTGTTTGATAATATAATTCAGCTTTGCACACATTTCTTTACGTTTTACAGAATGAAACTTAAAACCACATGCTCATTTGTATAAACTATAGCTGAAAAAACCAAAAACAAAACAGCTCTTTGCTTGTGCACTGATGTGGTCAGCTAAAAGACATGACTCAGTGGAAAATGAGTGTTCTCTCTGTGACAGAGGATGTGCTGATGATGTTGAGTCTGTTCTGTGTGTATCACATTGGAGATGGTTTATGTTTAATTTTTCAGAGCTCATACATGTACAGGTCATAGGAGTGCAGATTGTACTTGTGCAGGTTTAGCGCAGCTCTTTATTTAACAGTCATTTCACTCATGTTTGGTCACTTTATTTATGTTGGTCACTTTATTTATGTTGGTCATCTTGTGATGAAAAGACTGAAAAGTGTTTTAGACGCATGCACATTCAACTTTATGTTGCAGTAATTGGGATACTGCGTATACATGCCACAGTATCTCAGTTAGTATCGGAATATACAAGATACACTATCCTGGTTACTCATAACCAGGATACTGCCTTATTCGGGATACTGAAACCGGAATACTGCAGATACATGCAACATGACGAAACCGGGATACTCAAAAAACCCAATCATAACAGGGACACTGATGTGCATGTATACTCAGACCACAGACTCAGACCACAGACTCAGACCACAGACTCAGACCACAGACTCAGACCACAGACTCAGACCACAGACTCAGACCACAGACTGACAGACTGTCTCTTGTGCCCAGGCTAAAGTAGAGGTTTGTGTGGGAGAAGGACCCCCGAGCTCTGATGGAGAGGAAAGGGCTTCAGCATCATGGGGCTCACACCGTCTTCTGGTCTGGTGTCACAGAGGAGCCAAGATGTTGAGCCTGGCACGCAGCATTAGAAGGTCCTTCACCACTGACAATGCTAAAGTCCTGTCTTTAGCATTAATAATCCTCCTCCTGGCCTGTCACTCAGCGTCCCGTTATTACAGTGGTAAGTGTGTACATGTGTCCCTCCTTCAGCAGAGCTCTTCTACAGGCCTACAGTCTGAGTCCTGTCCTCACTGTGTCCCTCAGACTCTGACTCCTGTCAGTGGCTGTTGTCCACTGGACGCTTCCTGGAGAACAGTGTGTGGCAGCCTGATGGCTGCATGATGCATAATTACAGCAGATGGTGAGTGTTTTTAAGCATGTACCTGATGCACTCAGTGACACAGCTGCAGCTCACCACAGCTCCTGGTGCTCTGTCCTGTCTCGTATTTGGAGTCTGGGCCTCATCTCTCCTCTGGGCCCTGTGCTGGTGTCCTGGTGGCTGTCTCTCTCTCTTCTGTCACTGGACTAGAGTTTCAGAGTGAAAACTTCTCCAAGTGACTTCTAGAACAGCAAAACATCTTCACCCTGAAACTTGAGTCCAGTGACAGAAGAGAATGTTCTGCTGTTGATCTAGGCAACACTGTGTTTGTGATGGTTGGCTGTGGGGTGTATGGTTCTAATGACTGTAAAGCGCTTTATAAATAAAGTTTGATTTGATCTACTGTACAACTTCAGCTGGTGGTGTGGGGACAACTGTCTCATCCTGAATACGACCTGAATACGTCTTAGACCACTTCTTTATACGGTCTATGTTCATCAAGAGGTTAGAGCCGCTCTTCTTCGTCTGGAGGTTGAGGGCATTTGAAGATGCTGCTCTTGATGTTCTGTCACACTGTTGTGGCCAGTGCCTTTTTCACAGGACAGTTTGGGGCAGCAGCCCGGCCAACAAGAACAGCAGGAGGTTGTAGAATCTGATGAAGGCCAGCTCTGTGACTGGGAGAGCACTGGACTCACTCAGTACAGTGGTGGAGGTGTGCATCCCAAACAGACTGGTCATAATGGACACCTGCTCCCACCCCCTCCACAGTGTCCTGGCTGCACAGAGGAACAGCAGAGGCAGGCGACTCCTCTCACTCTGTTGTAGGACTGAAAGGTTTATAAAGTCCTTTGTCCCCACAGCCATCCGGCTCTGTAACTTGTCAGAACTGGGACTTTATGCACATGGACTTTGCATGTCTTGCACAAGCTTTTAATGATTATTTATTGCCTTTTATTAATCTTTTAACTGTGTGATGAGTTGTGTGAACCAAGCTACATGGACTTCCCCTTTTGGGGATCAATAAAGTGTCTGTTGGTCTCATCTTGTCTCCTCTGCCCCTCACAGGGAGGCCAGCACCTGCCTCGGTGGAAAGAAGGTCATTTTTATTGGGGACTCACGGATTGTGGGTTTGTTTGCATCTTTCGTCAATATAATAGCATCTAAAAATTTCAGCTTGGTAAGAGAGATGGATACTGAAAGACTTGGACTTGATTCCTTTATACTCACTGATAACTTTCTGGACATGTGCTTGTGTGTCTTGTCAGAGGCATGTAGACGCCTTTTTTACAGACAACAGCTCTTCAGTTCAAGTGGTGAGTTGTTCTGAAATTGAAATCTGAGTTGTGTTCTTCAAACATAAAACAATAAAGTGACAAATTGTGTTTGTGCAGCATTTTCTGTGGCACCCGTGGACAAATAATGACATGAAGAAGCGTCTTATTTCACTGTTTAATGTGAGTAGAATGACACACAGTTGGACAGTTCTGTTTGTCACTAACCTGAACCTCACAGTGAACAAGTTGATTTCAATAATTTGTACTTTTTTTTTTTTTTTTTTTTTTTTGCATTGGACATTTACATTTAACACCATCCCTATTAACCAAAGGAACTGCACACTATCTCTGCAGATTCCTCTACTGACAGGACAGAGACAAATAAATAATATTGCATTTAATGAATCTATACTCATACATTGCACATGCTTTGATGATCTTGTTTTGAGTTCACTTATTATAGGTGCAGGATTTTACTCTGTTCAGTCACATCTCGATCACTCTCAGGACACCTACAATCCCTTTTGAAGAACTTTCTCTTAAGCTCCATCCAATCCATCTTTTACATTTAGGGAGCAGAGGGAGTCCATTACTCACTTGTGGGCAGGGTCAGAGTTCACAAAATAAATACTTAATCTACGAGAAGGGATACCACCATACCACAGATCAAAACATTAGATGGCTTATCCTGTCTTACACTATAATCAGATGACTTTGCCACTTACTGCACAATAGTTATATAATTTTTATCCATAAACGCTGGTTACTCTCACCTCTTCCTGTGGTCCTTGTTGTTGCAGGCCAGAATAAAGCCTGATGCCCTGATCATTGGAGCTGCTTCGGTAAGTTTGACAATCCACTGTGTTAGGTGTGTTCTATCAATAAATTACTCTGGAATCGATCAATTGAAATCACAAAAATGTATTCCCTATTCAATACAATTCTAATACAGAGCTCTGGGTCAAATCATTGTGCCTGATGGCCTACAGCTACACAGGACTTACATCAGGTGGTCTGAACGCCTGAGGTTCCCTCAACCCAGAAATATACAACATCAATATGAATATGCAAATTGATGTTAAACAGGTCCACGCCTTGGATCCTCCCTGAATCATCTCCGTTGTCCTTTACCATAAAGGGATGATAGCCAGGTTTAAATACAGCCAAGTCTATTTAGGCTTGGTGCCAGCCAAGATGACCCCACTTCAGCTGCTCTGTAAAGAATTTCCTTAAAAATACACAACCTTCACAGCAGTATTTTTAAACATATCAGATTTCAGTGGTTAAGCATCAACTCAGTGTGTAATATTCAAACAATAATAAAATTTCAGTATTTAATATACACATGTAGTACACTCACGATACTTTATTACTTGATGTAGTCTTCATTTCCCTCTTTTGACCTCTCTTAAGAGGTCACCTCACAGAGCAAGGTAACATCATGTGGTTTCTGGTCCTCTCCAATAATATCCTTCACACTCAATTGGGGATACTGACCTCTTGAATCAGGACAAATTGCACTGTTAATGACCCTAAAACACAGAGTACACAATACAAGGCTCACAACAACATCCGACCATTGCAGAAAAATATTACCCCCTATGGACAGGGGAATCCAACACAACCTAAAAAGCAATATGATCGTGTGTGTATCCTCGACCTTCAGCCAGTGCGTAATAACCAACCATAAACAGGGAGGAGAGATCACAGTCTGACACCACACCTGGAGCTTAAAACCATCATATGTCACTCGATCTGTGTGAGATTAAACCATTTATATCCTTTCCCGTCCAATTGTACAGCTGTATTTGTACAAGCAGTCACTTTGTATGGCCCAATCCAACATAGTTCAGAGCACTTCCAGGACACACCTGCAAATAGGCTTCAGAGGGTGGAGATATAGCAGCCTCCTTTCTGGAAGCTGGGAAGAAAACTAGACACCAGTTACCTTAGTTGATCCCAATATGGCTTAAACTGGAGATTTAGAAGGGGCACCTCTTCCTGCGGTACCAATGTGGCCCCTGGACCAGGCATCAATCGTCCAGTGAGCAACTCATAAGAAGAAAAACCGTGACTTTGTAAATTGTTTGTCTCACTGCCAGGAAAACCAGAGGTAGGGCTTGGGGACAATTAAGCCCTGAAGTAGAACAAATCTTAGCCAATTTATCTTTTAGAGTGCGATTCATGCGTTCAACCATCCTTGGTGTTGAGGGTGATACATAGAACCAAATTTATAAAATATTACGTAATATTTTTCAACCTTTAGTATAGCATGATTATTGAAATGTGTACCATTATCAGACCTAATCAGAGCTGGGAAGCCATGAGTAGGAATATAATGATTAATCATTACCTTAATCACAGAAGAAACATCCTCACGATTCACCTTGTACCATTCAACCTGTGAAGGAATCAGCAAGAATGAAGAGATAGCTCTTACCTTGGACATGATGTAACATATCTGTGAAGTCAATAGTCACTTCTGCGCCTGGCCAAAGGGCTAGATGGAACTTACCCGGTGCTGGTTTAAGGGTGGACTTAACCATGACCCTCCTCCACCCTAACAACAATAAAATCTTCCTTAGAGTGCCCTACACAGTTTACTATAGCTAACTCAGATGGCAATTGGTTGGGATGGCAAAAAATGAATTTGTGTGCAATAAAAAATTCCCCAAACTGTCATGAAACCGTTAAGGTCAGCAGTCTGCACAGAAAAAGTTAATAATAGTTAGTTAATAATTTTTGAATAAGAGATATAAACTGACCTTGAAGATATTCCATCACTGCAAATCCTGCTCTCAGAGAGCCACCAGAATCTCTCCAGCAGCATCCATCCATGAGCAGCACACATCCATGACAAGCGGCACTGAAGAGAGATCCTGATGGACCTTGGTCAGATTGTAAACCTGCATTTCACAAATATGAGATTCCCCAGAGCTATTAATATTATCTGCCATATTAGTACCATCAATCAGGTAGATCAGATATGGTTGAGTGAGCACAGTCAGCAGTCTAGTCTGCCTGAATGAGGTGAGAGTAAAGTGACATTAGTGTACATTAAAACTGTCCTTAAACCCTTACATTTTACATTTTTGGAAAAGCACCCCATTACCAGTAGTATCATTGATGGTTACAAAATGTCCTCAGTCTCTGTAGTCCAGTCAAATGTAGCATTTACATTTTTTATGCCTTTTCTTTCACTAAAGCACACAGCTGAGATGTTTGTTCTACATATGCCAAATGTAATTCCTACAGTAGCCACAAAGTCCCAAAAAAGAACAACATTTCATGCACATTAGTTGGTTTTGGGTATGACAAGATTAACAAATGATGTTCTGCAAACATTGCATCACCTGTTTCAGATATAATTTGTACTAAGAAGGTCACAGCAGGTCTGCAACACTGCAGCTTCTTCCTGCTCACCTTGAAACCTAAAGAGCTAACTTAGTCAATGCAGTTTTAGTACCCTTCATGCAGACCGAAAGAGTGGGCGACGCCGGGAGGATGTCATCCACATACTGAATCAGCACCACGCCATCAGGAATAGCTAAATCCTGTAACAAGGTTTTCAGAGTTTGATTAAACAATCCTAGGCTTAATTTAAAACCTTGAGGTAACCTTGTATACTGTAATTTGCAGCCTTTATAAGTAAATGCAAAATAGTGTCTGCACTCCTTCGCTAGAGGAAGACAGAAGAAGTGTAAGCTAAATCTAATACTGTGAACCATTGGTATTATGGTCCAAGAGTCGTCAGAATCCTATGAGGATCTGGAACAGGCAAGCAAAATGTTATTGTCACATCATTAACAGCTGTCAAATCATATGCCAAACGATAATATTGAATATCATGTTTTTGTATAGGTAGGATGGGCATGTTCCAATCAGAACCAGATTGTTCCAATACCCCTGCATCCCACAGCCCACATATTATTTTCTCAATTAATTCTAAGGCTTCTTGTTTAAGTTTGTACTGTAATTTTAAAGGGTGGGCGTGCAGAGCAGAATCCCCCATTTGTTGGACCTCCAGACCATATGTGATCAGGGAGAGCCTCCAGCATTTGTGTAGAATCCTCATGGTCAATACAATCTCTACCATGAGTCCTGGTCAATGTTTCATGCTGCAAAAGAGTAGAATTAATCATAAAAGTCAAAATACAGAAAGCTTTTTTGAAATGAGAAATATTAAACTGAAGGTAAATCAAAATTTTGCCAATTAACAAGTTTAAAAAGCCTATGGACCATGGGGCCTAAATTTCAAGCTTCCCTGCCTGTAGCTACATCTAATGACACATAAGGAAGGGCAGTCCCTCCCATATAATACCAGAGTAACTGATTAGGTGTAAAATCACAATGAGCAACTACTACCTCCTCCCTCACATAGATTACATTAGATGTTAATTCCCAATTTTCTCCCTCAGTTTAGTGAAATGCCTCACTGTAAATATCATCTAGTCTCTATCATAAAATAAAATACAATGTAGTGGGTCAGTAGGAGGGTGATATGGTGCAAGAGAATATATCCAAAGCTTCCATGCAAGGAAAGTGAAAACACCCCCTTTGTATATATATATATATATATATATATATATATATCTCAACTCAATGTGTAATATTCAAAGAAATATATAATTTCAGTATTTAATATGCGCATGTAGTACACTCACGATACTTTATTACTTGATATAGTCTTCAACTGCTTAGAAAGAATCCTATGATAACTCCTGTAAATCCTGTGTCGTCTTTAATCAGTGGACCATCAAAGACTTCCATGCAAGTGCAAAAGCGTTGCACCAGTACAAAGAAAACCTGATGTCTATGTCTGCGTCTCTAGAGGGCCTGGCTGAGCATGGAGAGGTCTACTGGCACATTCAAGGTCAGCTTATATTCTTACAAACCTGGTGAGTTCACAAACTCATGAGAATCCATCTTGGCATGCACCAGATGGACAGTAAGTTGGGTGGACCAGAGCAGCATTGAGGTTTGTGTGGAGCTTCAGCCTATTTTATCATTTGTGGACAGAGAAGATTTATCCCAACTGGATAATCGAAAAATTAGATTCTTAAGATAATATAGATTCTGGACATGCTGAAGGAAGGTACAAGTAACACGGCTGTAAGAGAGTCCTGTACTGGGTTGGGTTCGGGCAAGTAGTTGCTGAAACGGGTGGGATTTAACGTTCTGGAATTTTACGGGCAGGTATGCGGGTGGGTAGTAATTACACGTGGGCGGGTCAAGACTAAATCAGGACTAAACCAAGATTAAACCAGGACTACACCACAACTAAAGTAGGACTAAGCCACCCTGGTTTTTGCATGTTCCTCACAGCCTTCTTCAGTCTTCCGATTCTTGTTCCAAATTCGCTCTTATCGCCAATCGTTTTCGAACTATTTGTCCATCCCAGGCTTCTGATCTCGCCTTACATTCTACGGTCTTTGCTCATATTCACTCTCCGTAGGAGAATAACAGACCAGTTGGGATAATCCTTCCTTATCCACCAATAAGTCCTCGTGAACCTTTCGTAAAGTATCTCTTTACGTCACGCCTCCGATTCCTCCTCCGTCGATCGGCTCTTCCTCACAGAAACGGGCAAGATGGCCTCCAGGTTCTGGTTCAGTAACATTTCTGATAAGTTCTATGCCCTCCAGCATATCTTCACATTCATTTTCCATCCACTCTTTCTGGATCGGCGCAGGCACATTTGACAGAAAATTCAGATCCTCGGTCACTGGGCCTCCAGCGCCTATCTCACCTACGTTCGTTATGACCTCAACAATCTCTGTCTAGCCCATCCTATCTTGCATTCTTTTAAACCTTTTGGGGGTCCCGTTCCAGCTGGGCCAAT